GTAGCCTTCAAATTATAATTATACAAATTATTTTCAGAACGTTTCATTTAGCGTTTCGTTAGTTTTAACCCTCTTGAGACTGAGCCTTTTTGGGTTGTTAGTGCCAAGAAGACGGATCACTTTTCACAAGCCTTGTACTTACTTTGTTAAACAAAAAAAAATTTATATAAAATAGTAACTACCGGTAATTATTTTACAATTATAAAACTATATGATCTTGCAGGGAATAGAATGAACTAATAAGATCTTTATGAATCAAACTGAAATCTCAAAATGTACGCAAATGAGATATCCCGATTTACATAACTTAAAATGTATGCATGCATTTTTTTTTTCCACTTTGAATAAACACGTCTTGTTTTCAAACTGTCATTTTTTTTTTAAATTTGATGATTTGTTGAAGTCTAATTAAGTCATAACCCATATTTCAAGGTCACACATTTTAAAGCATTTGTTAAGGGGTAACAAAGAAAAAAAAAAAAAAAAAAAGATATAAAATGATAGAACACCGTTAACTATCAATGGAAGCCGCTATATTAAAATGGAGAGATGAGCAAGAAATGCGAGAAGCATTCTGATTAGCTGGTACAAAGATCAGCCAGCCAATCTCGAGGTTTTTATTATTGGGCGGATTGGCCTTTACTCTTTTCGCTGAACAGCCCAGTCGATATAAGAAGGTTTAAATGTAAAACATGTAAAAATTGTACCGACAATTTGTTAAACACCCGGATACGGTTCCGTTTATAAGCCAAATTATCTTCCGGGTGTTATACTCGGCCTATCCGTGACAGCACCCGGCTAAGCCTAAGCCCTAGGCTACTTATCCCCCACCGTACCCCCATTTATTATGTTTCACAACCTCACCAATTCAAATTTCAAATCATTAATCTGAAATTTTTGGATACACCCGGCAGAAGCAAACTAAAAAAAAAAAATTCACATAGGAAACCATTAACATTATATTCATAGCAATTTACATGAGGGAGACGAAAAAGAAATTAATCATTTACCTCTCCTCCCTTACATTCTCTTTCCCTTCAATATAAAATCGGTAGACACTGTGAATCCCGGCCAATTATTGTATTCAAATAACAGGATATGCCTTGACCTTGGCTGGGATGTTCTGGCCTTGTCCCCGTTCACCGGTACGAGTGGGGACATTAAAACTGACTACACGCTGTGTAAACAACTACACAAGGCCAGGCGAAACATGGGTTGTTTACATTTGTCAGTTAAAGGTTGGGAGAGGCAAATTAGAACCTTGGAGACAACACTGATCGATCTCCGGGGTCCAATGACACTCTACGCTCCCCTTCCACTCTTGCAAAAATTAATTACTTACGCATTTTTAATATTACATTGATTTGAAAAAGATACACTTCGGATATTTTACCATTGACTTAATTCAAGTTAAGTTACTTAAGTCGTATGACATGAATTACATTTTCAACATTATTAAATTAGGAATGGCTTGAAATCATTCTAGTTGCTAACACAAATTACGCCTGTATTATTTATCTGTTGTGAATGTGTGTGTGTGTTTTCTAAATCTTTATTCGTATTCATACTTATAATATTGCGTCTAAGTATAAATTGCAGGATGAGCTTTGTGGGTTTTTTTTTTAATCGACACTTAACTTTTAACAGCTGTAATCGATACCTTGTAATTGTATTTGAAATAGCTATTATAAGTTCAAGAAATATAACATGGGCCGTCAATGGCCGTTTGCTTAAAGGCTCCAGCCTGTCAGCTTAAATTGTTAAAATGCAAACAGTATTAGAAGAGTAAAATTGCTAGCAGACGCCATAGTTAAGTTCGTTGAACAGACCAATAGGTCACAACCGTCACGTAGGCTGTATTCCAGAATTCTCGGCAGCCTACGAGCGATGTTGTGTGCAGGGTTTCCAGATAAAAATCTTAAAATAGGCCAAATCAAAGGGGGGAAAAGCCAAACTTGTAAAAACAGATTATTACTGTCGTTACTTGTGATATATGTATTCTAACAGAAGATTTCACTTTTATATATTTAATAGTTTAATAGAAAATGTGTTTTAGATTCATTGGGACGTAGGCCTACAATTTCTTTAAAAGGGGGGGGGGGGATTTGTTTCCAAAAATAGCGTGACGTACTTTATGGAGGCCCCTATACCTTACAACAGCATATTTTTGAGACCCGCTGTTACATTTGATGGACGGGTGGTTTTATTGTGTACTGTCAAACATTACATGCTGATTATTATTACCACATACACCATCTGTACACGGGTACACATAGAAATAAGAAGCAGACACAAGTCTGGATTTAATAAATGGTGACTGAATGTAATGCCTACCTTGTGCACTGTTAGGTCTTGAACCACAAGCAGAACAACCGCATTAAATATTCACGCTCGCTATGTCAGAGGTGAGGGACGCCAATTTACCATACTTGACTTGAGGGGGGGGGGGGCCTACAGATCACGATGCCCAGGTTAACGTTGGTTTTTGCAGCAACAGTTCATTTAAATTAACGCTTTTAAAGTTAACGAAGTTACTGGAACGGAACTATCTGGCATCTGGACATGTTTACAATTTAAAAATGAAACGTTTACCCTCTTATAAAAAAAAAATAATTTCATGTTTCCACTGTTCACATTCATAAGGCATATAACAGCGGTAACACATTAGCAAGTGGAGACGAACCTTATAAAGTGACATTAAATTTATGCATGAAATAGGTTCTGATAAATGTGCCGCCATTAAAAACTCGGTTTGTTTGCAGAGGTGTAGCGAGGGGGTGGGTGCGGAACGGGGGGACAGATGACCCCGGGCGCAAGCTAGTTAGGGGCGCCAAAATGTGCTTTGATATTATTTTATTGATGAAAATAATGGGTTTGAGAGTTGAAAAAAAGAAAAGTGGCGCTTTAAAATGGATCTTGTCCCCGGGCGCGAATCTTGTCCCCGGGCGCCCAAACACCCTTGCGACCCCTCTGTTTGTCTGGTTGTTGTTTTGTTTTTAATACCTCCGTCGCATTCTTTCTTAAAGACATACAAAAATATTAGACTTTCACTTTATTCAAACGGCCCCTAAAGTCAATCCATTTACCTAAAATCACCCCTTTTCCTACCCCCCCTCCATTTTCAATCCCCACACCCACTTCAACTCTCACGTCCCTCCCCTCAAACCAACACCTCCACACAAAAAAAAAAAATCAACCTTGCCCTTATCAAACTATTGTTGCTTGAAATCTAAAAAAAAA